ACTTAGCTTGCTTGGTAAGCTTGCTAAGGAGAAGCTTGTGCTTCAAGCTTCCAAGCTTGAGAAGAACCAAGCTATTCGGCCAAGTGTGAACACAAGTGTGAACACATCTAGGTGGGCGGCTCTTTGGACTTATTTTACTCCAACCGGTTTTGAAATGGTTAATTTGGTTTAGTTAGGTTCATTCAATGTGAATGGAACCTAGCTAAATCAAATCTATGAAAAATTAGGAGTAAAATGAGTCCAATATGTAAATTTTAGCCTAAGACCACCTTTTGGCTAAATTGCTAGTAACACTCTCTAGCTTGCTAATGGCACTCTCTAGCTTGCTAATGCCACTCCCAATCCTACTACTAGAAAACTAAGAAAAGAATGTATTTCTAGGTTAGGTTAAATGGAGTCATAGTGCTCAAGTAACCTACCTTAGAAACAATATACAATAGCTACTAAAAGGAGAAAAGTGCCTCACAAATACAAAGGCAAAAATATACCTATACAAGTATCTACCATATACAAAGTACAAGAAATCAACTATACAAGTATGTACAATGGAGACTCCTTAGATCAACCTTCACCCTTCTTGGTCTTACCTCTTCCAAAGGGATCCTTGGGGATTAGATTTCCATCTGTCAGTAGTGCTTCTTCACGGACGACTTCACATTTTAGTTCGTGTTTGTTTTTGTTTTGATCAATTACTGTCCAGATGCCACCCACTTCGTCCTTAAAATTGTTCCAGAAGTCTTCCTCGACTTTTCCAAAAGGCTAACGAAGAAAACTAAAAATTGTCAAGCAAATAACTTTAAAAACATAAACAAAATCATAAAATTACCTTTTTTTTTCCTGATGAAACGTCACGAACCACCCTAAAGTCTCCATCTCGTTAATCGGTGTTTGTCTTCTTGGCGCCATTGCTCTCCAACACAAAACACAGATTTCACGAAACCTTGTGTTTGACGGTTTGGGTTTTGGTCTTTTGAAACGATGATACCTTATAACTTCTAATTACTAATAAAGATTAATACCAAACCGTCACCCAAGCGGAACCAAGACACTACATAATTGGATTATGAGGTCTTGTAGGCCCATATGACATTTATCTTTTTTGGCTTTAGGATTATAATTGGATCATCATATATATATAAACACCACCTTAGTAATTTTTGTACTCGAATTGGGTTACTTAAAATTGACCCATGTAAAATTAATAAATGGGCTACGTTTGGATTGCAATTTCCTTAGATAAAAAAACTGAAATATATTTTAACTTTTTTTAACATACCTATAAATAATAAATACTAAATTACTTCATGCTAGAAGCACTTGACTTCGATATAAAAACCAAAATTCTATATGTAGATTAACTATTTTAGATTTTAGTGTTTTCTTAAAATTCCTTAACCTAAGATCATTACTTTGATCCTAATGTCATTAATTTCATCACTATAATTGCCTTTCTTAACAGAGCTCTAAAGGTCCCACTGTTCCATGGAAGTGTTATACTTTATGTATTCTTTATTTTCTTGTTCCCAACTAACTCAATTCAAATTCGTAAGTTCAAATTCATAACTCGCTTCAAATTCGTAAGTTCAAATTCGTAAGTTTATGCATTACGTAAATCATTAGACTCAGTTGCTGCCTTAAGTTCAATAATAGTAATAAAAAATCAAAATAACTGGTTACAATTGACATACACACAACATTTTTTTAACTTTAAAAAGAAACTAATCTTAATGTCTAACATTCAGATTCAATAAAATAAAATGGCCTACACTAGGGAATAAAACTACCAACTTAAAAAATATATAAATTAAATTAATATTCATATATAATTTGGTCCTCAAAACATCCAAAACATGCATATAAATTATAGATTATAAAGAATACATAAGGACGTTTCTTTTGTTTCTCATCAACCATGTTTTTGAAAAATTCTGAAAATTAAGGATCATCAGCAATACCACCTGAAGAAAAAAGAACATTATTAAAACAAAGGACAATAATTAAAATTCATTTATTATAAAATTTAACAAACCAATTGCATTCATCCTACATTGTAAAAACACTAACCAGTTTCAGTTCCATTATTAATTGTTTGTTGAAGCAAATTATTTCAATAGATCGAAACCACCACTGACATTATGCATTGTATTTTTTTGCATTAAAAAAAATTAGGTCAGTATTTAAAAATTTTACAAAACTGAAAAATACCTACAAAATTAAATACAATTTAAAATCAAACCTCAGGCTGTGTAAAAACTGGATAATGAGAATTAGCTGAAATAGATAGGCCTTGATTGTGTGTAATATATTGGGATGACAAGTATGAAAATGAAGGTGGAATAAAAATTCCTGGGGGATAAATTGAATTAACTCCATTTAAAATTTAAATAAAGGAAAATCTCATAAATCTAATATAAAAAAAAAACAAAATCATAAGTTGTTCCTTTCACAGAGAACATATTTCAGTCATACTCTTAATAATGAAAATTTCTTTAGGATGCATTAAAGTGGAACTGCTTGACGATATATATTAGAAATCGTTAAAAACCAGGAAATAAATAGATAAATAGAGGTACTGCTTGCATACTTGTCCTACATATACATTAATGTGCATGAACCTCACAACCATTAATAGTTACTTTGTATACTTATATCACAAGTTGATATATAACCGAATAAACAAAGGCAAAAATAGACAATGTGAGACTTCTTGCCGCCTGGAATACTGCAAAACACAACAAACTATGTGGAGGGCAGAATTGAAGAAAGCAGCAAAGGCACATCATTGAAAAAAGGAGTGTTCCTTTGTAGAAGTTCCTCATAGTCCTCTTTCTTGGCTGATTTGGGGTTAAAAGGTTCTCTATCAGGGACAACCAAACCTTGTTTTATACGACCTAGACGCCTTGCATGAAGAACTTGCTTTGAAGTTACTGGTAGCCTAATTAACTGATATTCTTCCAAAGCTGATCTCACTTTTTCTGCTCCAAACTTCTCAAGGCATTTGCCTAAGACTGCTGCATCTAATATTGACATGTTTGTGCTTCTAAGGCAGTGAGGAGTTGTAGGGTGAGCTGCATCTCCTACCAATACCACATTGTCCCAAAATATCTTTTCCAAGGGTTCACTATCATATATGACATTTAAGAAAGGGTCATGTGTTTCTTTCATGACCTTAAACAACTCAGGAATCCAAACCTTTTCTGCTTCTTGATGCATCTTTTGGATGTCACTACTTACCTTCATGGTCACTGAGGTTCCCTGAAAATTTTTGCTCCCAAATATCAATATATTTGACAAGGGAAGAGAAAGTGTAGATTTGAGGTAAAAATGAACACTAAGCTTTCCTATTTTCCTAACAAGTGACTTTAACTTAAACCATGTTGAGAATATGTTTTGACATGAATCATGATAAAGGGTATAAAAATTAAATTTAGGAGAAGCTGAGGGAAATTATCAATCAATTCATCTCATAATAAAAGTATATGATGATGAGAGGAACAAAGTTACCTTAACTTCAGGCTCTGGTTGATTCACATACCAAATCCAATTGAGCTTTTTGTTTAGAAGCTCATAGAAACCATTGTGTGTACATGAGCCCAAGTCGGAGTACAAGCATTTTCCTAAATCAGGGTAGGCCTTTCTCATGCCCTTGATGGTTTCTGAAGTCTCAGATTCTGAAAAATCAAAGACCCCTCTCCAAGCACAATAGCCTGAATATCTACAAATGACACTAGAGCCTTAGAGGACCTGTAATATGTACTACTTTCATTGAAATGAAGACACTCAAAATTGTTTTCAAAAATAAAACTAAGAATAATTAAAATCAATAAAGATAACCATCAAAGGATTATATACTATAATAATGCTTACAATTTTTAATTCCTTCTTCATGCAAAAGACAATACTGGAGGAGCAAGTCACTGATCAGTGTTACATTAGTTAATGGATGTGGTAGTTAGTGACAAAACTATCTATCACTAACTACCACTTCTATTAACTAATATAACTAAGACCATTGGTTTGCTTCTCTAGTTTGTTTGGATTGACATTTTAAACGTGCATCTCCTCATTCTTTTTTTATTTTATTTTTTATAATCCATTAAGAACGTAGAAGCTATTCTAAGTAGCTTCAAGTTAAATGCATATTCAATTTGTGTTTGAAGAGGAACCATGCACCTAATAGAAGAAAGACAAGAGTTAATAATATCCTATCTGATATACTCCTCTTAACACACTTTTATTGGTTAAAATTCATTAAAAACTGTAAAATCATAAGATAGCTTTATTAAACCCCTTCTGTAACTTTCAATAAATTTCAACCGATCAGAAATAGTTTATTCAAAAGAGTGTATTTGAGAATGAGTTTCTGACATTTCTCAGAAGAAAAGAGGAAGTTAAAGTCAGCACCATTGTGAGATACAAACCTGAGTTTAAAATGAGGGAGATATTTGTGGCGGATGGAAGAGAGACAACCATCTGCTGCAACAAGCAAGTCCCCTACTATCTCTACAACCTTGCCAGTTTCTAGTACTTTAGCCTTTACTATAACAAAACCCTTTTCATCTTGAACATGGAAAGAGAGAAAAAGGTGGCCCCATAAAATTATATTTGATGGCAGTGCATTGTAAAGAAGACCATGAAGATCAGCCCAATGTGCTGCTCTGAAGTTGAAACTCTCATCTCTTGCCAATGTCCTACTGACCTCACTATCAGTTGCCTGATTCTATTCAGGAAACAACAATTCAATAAGCTATTCTTCTATTTCCTTTTATTTATCTATCTATTTACATTTTGAGAAAGATTGCACCTGATCAAGGGGTTCTAAACATAAAGATCTAAAGGGTTAATTTATGATCCACCACTCATTCAGCACACAAATGGAGAGAAAACACAGAACAGTTACAAACATAGCATAAGTTAATTTAGATCAATCTATTGCTCTGTCCCTTTTACATGTCATATGTTCATTGCAAGATTTAGTTCAGTGCATCCACTAAAACAGACATAATATTTAACACTGAAGGAGTTGTAGAAGATACTAGATACTGACCCTATTTGAATAGTCTTCTCCATAAGCACTTCCATGAAGTAAAAATGGAAAGGGAAATCAAAATAAGTTTCTCCATAAGCTAAAACTAATTTATGTATAAGTTAAAATTAAGATTTTAGAGAAATTTATAGGAGAGAGTTTCTACGATTTAGGTTATACATAAGTTAATTTTAGCTTATGAAAAAGCTCATTTCATTTTTCTTTCCTATTTTTCTCTCTTGAAAGTACTTATAGAAAAGCTTACTCAAAAGAGACCCACTATATAATACATTTTGAAAAGGGGGATTCAGAACTAAACAACTTTCTTGGGACTCCAAAATGATACTTGAGTTAAGACATGACTAAAGATAATTCACCCTCACTAGAGACAACAAGATAAGGTACACAAATGAAGAAAGGGTAAAGATAGAGGTAATTGGAAACCAAAATCCAAGAGGGTGGTACCTGATCTATAGTTAGTGGTACAGTGATGTTGTTGAGGAGTTGTGGCTGTGGAAGCCATGACTGAATGATTGATTGAGATAGAGGGTCAAGTCCAAGACCTGCACCAGTTGGACTTCCTGAAGGAGGTGCATTGGTTTTCTCAAGCACAAGGACATTCCAACCAGCTAAAGTAAGAGCATGTGCACTTGATATTCCTGCTATGCTACCACCAACAATCACTGCCCTTGGCTTTCCTTCCTCAACCATAACTTCTGTTGAACTTTCTCTCAAAAAAGTTGATTCCAAACATTACTATACTGTCTCACAGAAAGCTGTTAACTTCACTTTTTGTGTCTGATACAAAAGACAGATGCACAAGCACAAGGTGATGTAGCTTACTCAATGAATTTGGATAAGAATAGGACTCATGTACCATAGGATACAAGTTCATATCCCACTCTGAGTCTTGAGGCCTGTTACATTCCTAAGAAACTCCCTACATCTAATTCACGAACTTTTCTTCTAAAAAAGACATCAACTATGCATAAACTTGGTTGCGAATTTCGTTGATAAGAAATCATAAATTTCAAGACATCACTCTTCCCTTTCCTTTATTTTAGTTCAGTTGCCGCATGTGTTGGTAAACTAATATTTTTACAATGATTTTGTCCTTACCAAGGTTAGAATATATTTAAACGAAAAAGAAATAAAAAAAGGGTTATTTTTTTCCTCTTACTCAATTGTAGAAAATAAATAAAATGTCATAATATTATTATTTTAGTTTCTTTTTTTAGATGTTCCTCTGTCCAGAATTCAGAAATTAGCCTCTCATAATATTGTTATCTCTTTTGCATAATTAACATTTCCTTCTTCACTTTTAAGTCACGGAATTCATTGTAAGTGGGACCATGCAAATACAATCATTAACCCTCGTCTTGTATGTGACCATCAAACGATTGTATAATCTTTCAAACGTGGTCTTGAAGGATATTTTACAAATAAGAAAAATTAATAAATAGTAATTTTACGGATGTAATATTATGATTAATCTTTTTTATTAAAAATGGTGTAATATAACAATCACTTTCTACATTATATTGTCGGGGTATAAATGAAAAAGAGCCAAAAAATATATATATAATATTTTATGACGACTTTTTCTAATATCACATTTGTTATGGGATGGTGGAAATAGTAATTTTGTATATTAAGTGATTAATTATTATTAAATATTTTAAGTACATGATTCATTTCAACTTAATATATACAGAGAATACTGAGGATATTAACCATGTTTTTAAGTGGACATCAAGTAAATGATTCTTGTATGTAGTCATTTTCCTTACCCTGTCGTTTTGTAAAGAAGCAAACAAACAAAGCCTACTAGAGGAGATTATTCAACAAGTGGATACATTTGTCGAGTAAAATTGTCTTTTCACTCAACAATACGTGTGAACCATTTTGATTGAGTAAGGTAATATCAACTTCTAGACTAGTCTCTTTATTTTCTTCGTATTTTTTTTTTTTTTTGGTTGCAAAAAGTCTTTATGAAATGTCACTAGTTTTAGCATTTAAAGAGGAAAAAAACAATAAATGAATAACTTATATCGTCTTTGCAATTGGACAAGGTGAAATAGCTTAACAACGATATCAATGAAACAAAGTGACGGATGTAGAAACATTTTAGTCTCATGTACATGTATAAATTAGTATATTAGTTTATGCGTTATATGATAAATATTTGTTTTTATATAATTAAAATTTAAATAATAAATAAATATTTTTTAGCATATAGAATTATATTATTAAAATTATAGAATACTCCCAAACACATGGAAGTATGAATTATTTAGTCATTCAATTATTTTAATTTTGGAGATCTTATAAAATCACTCAGATATTCAGTTCTGAGAGATGTATGTTAAATATCTTAACCAGTAATATGACTAAAAAAATATAAATAAATAGAAGTGACGTTCCATGAACTAGCTTTTAAGAAATATAACCTAACAAAATATTTTGTTTATCAATGAAAATTGCATGTTATTTTGAAAGTTAAACTAATTAAGAAAACATATTTATAATACATTGAATTAGTTGCTAAAATTATGAATATATCTAAAACTATAAAATTATTAAACATAAATGATCGTTATGTAATATTTTTAGAGAAAAAAAATTAATTGGTAGTCTTAATTTTAAGGAATAAATTCATATTTTGCTTCATATTTCATTATCATGGTTTTAGATCTCACAATGTGACTGCCATTTTAAGCCTATAAGAATATGCATTTATACCAAGGTACTAAATTAAAATTCAAATCGTGAAATTAATATTTGAATTGTAAATCATTTGTTTATCTAGTTTAAGTTTTAAACACACTAAAAAATAAGCTGAAACATGTTGTGCTTAAAGTAATAATACAGTCTAGTTCAGTGTAAATAAATTATAAACCCTCTAATACCAAATTCAATTTATATGAATAAAAAATAGTCTTAAACTAAAAGTGCCATAAGTCTCGGAAACAAAAACATAAATGGTGGTGACCAAGTCTGTGACTGTGAAAGTTATGCTGGAAAAATAATGGAAATATAACATTCTCCTCTCTTCATTTGTGAATTTCGTGAGCTTCATTTTTCTAAGCTCATGCCATCCTGAATTTGTGCTTGTCAAAATATCAATTTCGTTTGGGTGATACTATTTTATTTTCGAAGTCTGTTATAAAGCTTCGTTTCACCCTTTGTTCTCTTCTATATTTTAATAATTTTATACATAAAGATGATCAAAATGAATTCAACCAGACTTATAAAAATTACAATAAACTTAAAAGTATTTCATATGAATTGAACTAAACTATACATTAGTTTAGACAAATTAAACTATTTTTTGTTTCATTAAATTAAACTAAACTATTCAATAAAAATTTGAATTAAATTGTAACTCAAACTACACTAAACTACAATGATACTTTAAAATGGATAATTTAGACTTGTTGATTGATCCTTCAAGATGGAACACATTTGCAAACTTTTATTTTATTTTTTATTTTATTTATTTTTTCATACAAATATATATATATATATATATATATATATATATATATATAATCCAGTCAAACAAACTAGATAAATTTTGAAACTAAAAATTAATTAATCAACATAATTCAATTGATCCGATAGATTTGACAAAATTAGCACAAATTTTTTTGGATCACTTTTTTCAAAATCTAGATTGTTGTTATCGAACTAACCCATTAAAACGGATATATCAAACAAATTTAATTTTTACACTTTCATACAAATAATTCAATCCAGTTTCGTTTTCAAACAGTTCAGTTTAATTTAATTTTTTTAAAATAGTTCAATTCAATTTTTTTCCCCATCCCCATTTGTACGTGTTACTTGGAAATGTTAAATTATTATATTTATATTTGCGAGTTAAGTTTAAAAAGGCTCCACAATGTTCAAGTAAACTGGAGTTTGACAACCTTAGATTTGTGGGCATGCAGAAAAAATGGTATTTAGCTGTTGTCTCTATTAGGAGGCCCACATCAAGAAAATGTACCTAATAAAAAAAAAACAAAATCAATTTGAATTTTGCCTTTTGCTTACCAGTACATATTTTCCCCCAAAACGACCTGCAAATGAAAAACCCTCCTGCATTTCGATGGATTAGGAAAATCTTCATTGTTAGTCACTGCAAACCTCAACCAAAATGTTCACTAATACAGTATTGGAATCTCAACTACCAACCATCCAGAAATCTTTTGTTTAGGGAGTTCAATTCTGTGGTCTTCCCATAAAATTTTCTTTTCTAAACCAAGGATGTTAATGTAAAGAATACACTTTTGGGTGAAAATAAATAGAGAACTTAAGTCACATTCATCACTACATTAATCATCCAAAAGTTTTGGTCACCAAATTAGACCCTTACAGTGAAAAATTCAAAAAATTTGAAATGCAAAGTAATTCAATTGAAGCAATCAAACTTGTTCAATTGTGAAATCATTTGTTCGGGTTATTAAACTTTGCAGGCATTTCCATTGGGATTCAGAACATAGGTGTTGGGTTCAACCAAATATAACAAAAGCTAAGGAACTAGGGGTGAGCCTATTCGGGAGAAGTGTGAAATGAAATGGAAGTACACTAGTTTGGAGGGCAGTGACTCTATGGGGGAGGTGGGACCGGCTAGACATGAAGGTTCTGGTGGTGCTAATGGGACTGTGGTTTTGGCAGAGAATGGTGGTGGAAATAACGTTGACACCCAGGACTCACAGGAGCTTGGTTAATGCAGCAAGGAAGACAGCCAAAGATAGTTTTGATGTTGGTTCTAGGTCACATGGAGGCACAACTAAGCTAATAGATGGGTTTCAGTTGAGGCATGGCTGTTTTGGTGGGTAGATGCTGGGTTCTATTGGATGAAGATGAAGAATGAGGAATTTAAGAAATCCCACCTATTCTGATGGAATTTTAAATACCTGGTCTTAACAAAGGATTCAAATTCTAGAGAATTTTTTAATCCTTCTACTAAATACCCAAACAGAGCATTTTATTGAGTAGCAATTAGAATACCCTTCAAAATTACATTGTTCTCTTCAAATGCTTTATCTTGACACAATGTTAAAGATTCCTTGCCACCATTTTAGTCCTATATAAGGACCTATTTGGCAATACAATATTCTAGATCTCTAAGGACTAACTTGGTGACATATTAAATCTTTTAAGAGGAGTATTTTAGTGACAATATCTTTGGAGGACTAATATGATGATTGAAATCTTTGAAGGTCTAATTTGGTTACCAAAGTTTATTAAGAACTAATGTGGTGACATTCATAACTTCGGAAGACGGAGGGTTTTCTCAAATATAAATATAATAACACCATAAAAAGTAACGGTATTTAAAACAGGTCAAAAATGGGGTGCACTCATGCACTCTGACTGATCAGAGCCAGCTAGAACTCACCAATTCCATGTGCAGTAAACCAAATCAACCAAGTTACCCAACAAGTTAGTCTTTTGAGTATGCTATCCTCATAGGCTTTTCATGACATCGAGCTAAAAAAAATTAACCATTTTCATGCAACCTGACATTGTACAGTAAGTTTTGATAAAACTGGGTGAACAAGTTCCACCGTATAGAATGTGACATGAGAATAAAGGCCTTTTCGGGGGCAAAATCTAGCTCAAATCAAACATGAAAGGGTGAACCCAATTAATTAAATCACCAGAACCATAACAAAGGTTTTTTTTTTCCTTCACTTTAACGACTATGGAGTGAAGTGACCATCCTTCAAAAACAGCATACATTAATTGAATAGGAAAAGGCAAAAAATTATTAACTGTTTTTAGCTATTGGTAACTCAACTATATCACATTAAACAAGAAAATTTGATAGCATTTCAACAGAAGCACAATAAACAAAACATGTGACAACTCATTCCATATCTTGTTCATCGTGATAGCAACTACCTAATTCAAATAAGGTACCTAAACTCCTTAAAGCTCAGGCATGCCCCTTCCTGTTTTAGCATCGTAAGTCTTCTCTAACACAATATCCATTGAAGTATCTTTAGGACCAACTGCCAAAAATAAATAACAACAGGGTAAGATATTTTGGGTTGCTGAAAAATGTTTAAATGTATCATTGAAATAATTGAGAACTGAAAAGGCATAGATTTCCCACTGAATTCCATATATCCATACAAAAGTTTTAGGCCTTCACAATAACTTGAGTAAGTAGCTTCTAACAAGTAACAACATTAGGTTAATAATATAGCCATGGAGGTTGACCAAGAGGATGAGTTTATGCCCATAACCACTACCTTGAACCTAGCTTCTGGCTCAAAATTCGAATATTACAGAAGACTGAAATCCATCAATCCCAATTACATTGCTATACCATATAAATGTAGTTTTCTATTTGTTTTTTCAGCATGAGGTGCATGTCAATCTTACTTGGGTCAATTAGTCAATATGAAGGGGAAGTGGGGAACAATCATCTAACCATAATACACACCCTGTAAGCAAGATTTTTAAGGAAACGGAAGGCACTTTATAAATCATAAATCATTAATGATTAACATACTCCCCACCAACACCCTTTTCCAAAGGCTTTCTTCTATTCTCTTGTGCTAACATAATTATGGATTTCAACAAAAGGAATCAGCTTAAAGAATTTCTCTAAAGTGCAAGGTGGCTCTCCTTCAAGACAAAGTATAATAACAAGCTTATGGGTAATCGTGTATGCTAACAACCTAACAGACATGTAGCAAAGAAGAGTATAGGTGCATCATTAGAATTAAATGAGAAAAATTAACTATCATCACCATAGTTTGCTTAGTTTGATGACTCATCTATGTGTTTGAATTGGACTATTTTCAGAGATTATAGTTGTTTCCATATAAAAACTGTTTATAATCTTTTTCTCTCTTGTATGGTAACCTTAGTGAAAATCATATTATAATCTTAGAGATTGTGATTAAAAGTTAACAAATTATTTTCTAGCTAACTCCTGTTTTCTCATTTTATCCCAACAATTGTTCGATTTAAAATACAAAAATCAACTACTACAAATAACTTCATACCCTACATTTGTAATTTTAATATAAAGCATATTATTATTATTATTTTAGACAATCCAAACAAAATAGAGCATCTTAAAACAATTTTTCACCTAACATATCCAAATATAATAAAACTTGTTTCACATAATTGATAATAATAACAATTGATTATTGAAATAATCTCTCAAATTAATCCAAAGTGATAAGTAACTCTCTCTCTAGAGTCTCTACATAAGCCACATTATTGGCTTGTTTTATACATCTTTCTCATCTCAATCCAAGTTCACTTTCAGTTTCTCACCTAAAATTAATTTTCTTTCAGTCAATTATCTCTCAGTTCTGCCATGTTTATCAACAACAACTCAGACAAGAAAAAAGCATAAGCTTTTTAGATACTTACGGACAGTAGGTCTTGGGGTAGTTCTTATCTTTAAGATCTCAGGTCGAGGGATTATGGACCCAGATGCTCCTATACCTCGAGATACTCTGACTTTAGTACCATCTTCAAGATATTTAGTTCCAACCTTGCAAGGCTTCCTGCATAAGTAAAAGTTAGTTAACTGATGTACATCATCACCAACCTCAGGAGATGCAATCACCAGTTCATTTTTTCTCAAAAAATGGCCATACCCTGTCACTGGGTCAATAACCTGCACATTGGAGGCATGAATGGGGGCTTCAACTGAAAAGATGCCCCCTTCATGACCTTGCCCTTGCTTGATATGCTTCTTCACCTGTAAAGAGAAAATCAAACAGCATTGGAGCAAGAAATCTATCAAAAAAACTCACACAATCACACGTTCAAATCCCCATCACACAATTAATATAGATTCTGATGCACATTGATAATGTAATTGAAAAAGGTACAGAAAAATAGAATGCTCAAATTGTCACACACCAGATTTTTACCACCAACAATGACACGATTCTGGGAGCGAATGACACGCTTAATAGTGCCAGTCTCACCCTTATCTTTGCCCCTTATTATCATAACCTGTCACAAATGCATAGCTTCATGAATAATCTATAATTGTTATTACTACTACTATAGGAAAAAACAAGCAACAGATTTGGCTTGTGTTACATTATCCCCTCTGAGAATTTTCCAGTGCCTAATGAGTTTCTCAGCAGCTTTCCAACCCATTTCACGATTCACTCTAAAATCACAAAACCACAATCAAAAAACTCAAACACAAAGCAATTCAAAAACACAGTAATCAATAGCAGCGGAGATCTATAAATGAAACGAGTAAGCAATTGATCAGAAGTACCAAGAGAAAATTGCAAGCAACGCCCTAGGGTTAGAAGCGAGAGTCACTGATAGGCTTTAAAACCCGCGACTCAAACGACATCGTCTCTTATATTTCTTTCTTTCTTTTTTTATTTTTATCTCTTATAATATGTCTCTTCCATTTCTTCGTTTGATTGAAAAATAAAAGTAAGGTGTAAGAAGAAAGAAATAGAAAGTAGAAAAGAAGAAAATGAAAAATAAAATAAAATAAAGTATAATTTTATTTTTTTTTCTGTTTTGATTGAGTTGGAAATTAAAAAACAAAGTAAAATTGTCAGATGAGATAAATAACCTTAAACGAAAACGAAGAATAATAAAAATTATAATCCAAAAAATACTACTCAACACACATGATAAATTAAAAATATTTTACCACTCGAAGTGAAATAAAAACAAAATTGATAATATAAATTAATCTAACGATAATTTTGTATTTTTCATTTAAATTTACATTTTGTATTTTCCTTTTTTTAATTTGGAGGAAATAAATTTTGGTGTGCAACTTCCAAAAGTTTTCTTACTTTACTATTTACTATAATGTTTACACGGGCAATATTTAAGGAATTTGATCTAAAACACATTTTATATAATAAAAGAATAAATGTATTTTTATTAGTTTAATGTGGTTAGGTGATTTTTTTTATAGTTTTAAATTATTGTTATGCTTAATTTATGATATAAAAAAAGTTGATTATAGAAAACTTACAAATTAATATATATAATAATGAATTTAATATATTTTATTGATTATGTTATAACTAGTATATATGATATTTTAGACAGTTATTGATTAATTTTAATAATATTATCCTATTAAAAATTATGTTTTTATTGTAGTTTTAAAATTATTGTTATCCTTTATGCCAAATATGTGATAGTGAAGATTTTATTATGAGATTATAGAAAATTGCTTCACTCACATATATTATATGTGAATACTTTTTTTTTCTTTTTATAATATGTTAATAAATTGTAACATGTAATGTGAGTGTTATGTTTCTTTTTTCTACTACTCAAAATGTGATAATGAAAATATCATTTTGAGGTTATATAATTGATAAATTATAAGTTTAAATGTATTTTTAATTTCTCAATTTTTTAGTTTTTATAATTTCAAAAAGTGTTATTTTGATCACTCAAATTTAATACTTATACTTTTAGTTTCAAAAATATAAAAAGATACTATTTTAATACCTTTCAACTTGTTACTATTAGTTATTGTATTAGTGACTAATACAATATTTTTTTTACAATTATAAGGACTAAATAGATAAATTTTGAATTTAAGAAACAAAAATAATTTTTAATATTTTAAAAACTAAAATTACAAGTTTTAAATTTATGGAACCAAAAAATATATTTGAAATTTGGAGGACTAAAATTATAATTTAGCCTAAATTATATCATTTGAAGCATCAGATCAAGAAAAAATATAATTAATATTGTTGAAATTAAATTTTTTGTAATAAAAATTGATAAACTAAATGTTTTGTAATAAAAATTGATAAACTAAATGAACAACTATAATTTTATTGAATTTTTATCCATATGAATTATAACAACAGGAAAAAGGTTTGAACTTACGATACTATGTATACTATCTCAACTATCTACATTGAATTTTAATCATAGAATTACATGCATTTATATGTTGTGATAAACTTCTTTGAAAACCACATTTTAGGTAATATTAATATCTTCTTCGTCATTATTTATAATCAAGATTTTGAGAGCTTTCCTTGATATAACTTTTGATATAGTTACAAATAATATAGGTCAAGTAAAAAAAAACTTCTTATGACATAAATACTCCAACATGTTTTAAAAATTTGCCTTGACTTTTGTTGATAGTTATAATATAAGAAATAGTCAAAAGAAATTATATGCACTGAAATTTGAAAGGAAACATTCCACTAGAAGTTAATGAACCAATATTGATTAATACAAGTAGTAGTGACTTATATCTCTTAATTAAGTTGTTTAGGATTTGAATATTGATCTTAAGTATAGAATAGATAATCTTAGGAAGGAAATGCCCATTTGATACTTCGTACTAATACTAATTACCAAAAAAAAAAAGTTAATAAAAAATCTAGGAATAAATATCTTTAGAATAATTTTGCTTTCAAATATAATTTTTCCTTCCAAAACATACTCCCCAATCTTTATGATGAATAGTATATTACCATCACACAATCTTAATGATTGGTCAATGTTTATTAACAAAATAACAAGAACTCTACCTTTTAACTTCAAAAACATAATTTGAAAATCAACTACAAATGCAACTTAAGAGGGTTGAAGAAGAAAAAAAGGAAGGAAAAAAAAACTTAAAAAGTGAAAAAGGGAA